GTGCCGCAAGGCTCTGTCCTGGGGCCCCTTCTTTTTAATGTATTCATTAATGACCTCTGTAACTCGATAAGACATTCCCGTTTTCTAATCTTTGCTGATGACCTCAAAATTTTTCACATCATAGACACTCTGCAGGATTGCCTCTTACTTCAAAATGACATTCATCATGTCAGTGACTGGTGCTCTGCCAACTCCACGAGTATTAATATCAACAAAACGCGTGTTATGTCGTACTCAAGGAAGACTAATGTCCTGCTCTATGGGTATCAGCTTTGTCGTACTGCTATTACACGCACCAGTTGCGTTAAGGACCTAGGTGTTTTCTTTGATTCTAAATTATATTTTCACAATCATGTTGATTTTTTATATTCTGAATGTATAAAGCTGCTAGGTCTTATATGCTCATTAACTTTTAGATTTTCTTCTCTTGACTGTTTATGTGTGCTGTATCTTACACTAGTCAGGTCCAAGTTGGAATATGCCTCGGTAGTTGGGAATTCTATCACCTCTACTGACTCCGCAAAACTTGAACGCATCCAGAAAAAGTTTGCATCTGTCTGTTTCTATCGCTACTTCCCACATAGCTCCTATAGTTATACATCTGCCTTAGAGAGACTAAGATTGCACCCCCTAAGTCTGCGTAGACATCTTCTTGATGCACTCTTCTTCATTCAGGTTTATCGTGGCCTTAAATCCTGCTCCTCCCTTCTGGATAATGCTAGTCTTCGTGTTCTACTTACCATGTTCGAGACCTCTACTTTTAGCATTCGACCCTCAAAAAGACACTGTCCCTCTTCTTGGTGCGCCCTTGCTACCAACGTGGTGGGTAAAGATCTTGACATATTTGCAGACGGAGCGGTTTCTCTGAATCATATTTTACAAGCATGTACCAAACCTTTTACGGTGCTACTTGATTAGTGTTTTCATTCACTACAAATATGTGTTACCTCGGCTAGCTTTAATTATTCTTATGTAATTGGTTTTAATTTATTGACTGGTTATTAATTTTATTAATTTTATGCTATCACTCACTGGTGTCTTATCTTAGTATTTAGTTACTAACAGTATTAGCAACATTCGTAATATTTCATAAATGTATGTATATATTTCAGTCTTCTTTAGATCTATGTTCACAGATTTATTTGTCGTATTTGTATTTTGTTTTAATTATTTTGTACCTTATATACTCGTGCTAACTTTGTAATTGGCCGCTGGGCTGTTAAGTTATTGCACGTAAATAAACATGAATTGAATTGATGTTTTCTCAACTAATGAGAGGAATATTCATTAAATGCACTCACAATAGCTTGTGGATTATTAATAGATGTGCTGTAAGTGCAAGAAGGACTGTTGTACATGTGTTTTTAATGAAACAATTCAGAAAGATATTTGTGTAGAGGGACAGCATTTTCAACACCACCTGTGATTTGAACAAAGGTAAGAACTTCCCTTCATTCCTAATGTTATAGGCATGCTGAGTCATCTGCAAAATATGCGTGTGCTCCACGACTGACCATGCTCTGGTTATGGTGAAACATGGAACCGAGAACATGTCAAGCTCATTAGAAACCTCCCAGTTTGTTTGGGTTTGGACTCCAGAAATGTGCTTGCCCTCTCATCACAGATGTGTTAATTAAAGTTACTGACTTGTACAGTTTTATCCTTGTTCTCAATATATTAACCATTTAATGAAAATGATTTATATTCATGTGTAATGTGCAGAAACAGATAAAGAATATATTTTGGCACCCTTATTCTAAGCCCAAAATATACTACAAGGGTCCCATCACGTGGAATTTGTGAAGTTGCTGACACTCTGCCCTTATTACACAGAAGAAGGGCAGTCTTCATTCAGAATTAGTAAATTGTATATATTTCTTTCAGTGCACTGGTTCCCAAAGCAAGAGATGATGTACTTAGATTTGAGAATGAACTCTCAGAGTAGGGGAGTGAAACACATTCCCAGAGAGAGCATGAGACGGAAATCATGAGTGCCATGTAGAAAGAGTTATATGTCTAGAGAGGAGGAGGAGGCAAAGGATGCTGCCATGATGAAGGTGAGGCTTGCCTACACACAATGAACATGCCCTTCACTCTCGTGTCATCAGAAGCCCAGATGTGTTATCTTGACAGTAAAGCACAGCACTAGCCTGCTGTCCAGTTCACATCCTTTTTAATCCTTGTGCTTGAGATACATTTTAATTTTTTTTGTATGATGTCACACTAGGAATGATAATTGTAAGCACATGTATGGCCGCGCCATAGCTCAAGTGGTTAGTCGCTGGCTTCCTGCTGCGGCACCCCAAGTTCGATCCCGGGTCTGGTCAAGTGGGATTTGTGGTGAACAAAGTGGCTGTGGGGCAGGTTTTTTCCGAGTACTTCCGTTCTACTGCCAATCTTCATTCCACCAATTGCTCCACAAACGCCCCCTTCTGTGGCTGGTACAATAGGCCAGAAGTGGCCGCAGTACAAGGGACTTAGTCCCACTCCACTAGCAATAAAAAAGAAGCACCATGTGCCACGTGCAAGGATTTTATTTTGTACTTTTATAAAATTGCATTCAAACAGTATAATCAGAGAGGAATGGTTCAAACTTAGCCAAGGATGGAATTCCAGCACCAGATTTTTATGGTACTTCAAAACATACATCGCGAAAATCCCAAGAAGACAGACTAGGACATGATAGGAGAATGAACTAATAAGCTCCATGAATTCAAATCTTCCACACATACTGTGCCTTACTGAACATCACATGAAACAGCTGGAATTAGAACATCTTCACTTAGAAAATTATAATTTAGGTGCTAGATACTGTAGGAAAAC